AACAACCGGCCCCAGATGTTTAGCTACTTCTAACTGATATACGTCCGTACATTTTGCATTTAGGCGTGAAGAAAATTGTGAGAACCTTAGTCAACAAATGGATCTTTTGAAGAAATATGAAGACACACATCTTGGTGGCTTCAGGTAAATTTTATATATTACACACACGTATAACATTTGGGTACCAAGATTCTTTATATACCAAGAGATTTACACCTTATATTCATAGTTATAGAATGTACCCTCTTTTTTCAGACGTGTTTATCCTAACGGAAATGAAGAAAAGTACGAGAAATATTTCGAGAATAGTGGCTCTCTTTTCCAAGAAACGACCGCGTCCAAAGCCAGGACAGAATGTTCAAGGTTTGCTACATTCATTGATATTATATGGTTAATTTATTAGTTGCCTGATTGAGTGTATAACTGATTGTATGTTGATCGATTGTACAGTTCATTGGTTGTTTCTATCATTGATTGGTTCTATACTTATTTGACTGATTGATTTATACATTTTATTGATTATAACTAAATGACTGATTGTACCGTACAATTCATTGATTGTCATCGATTCATTGATTGTACAATACTGTACTTTGATTATATTTGATTGGCTGTATAATTCAGTGATTATGTAATTAATGGATTGACTGATTGATTGGCCAAAAACCTTCTAATCTTCTTGTTTTCTCAAACATATGAAGCTTTTGCATGTAGTCATTCTAATTCATGATAATCTGGTTGTTATATATGATGGTTACCATCAATTTGTTTCATAAACACAAGTGTTTCACTGTTTGTTTCATATTCTGTAGGATCCAAAGAGAACAGATCCTTGCGAAGAAACAAGAGATCGAAACGATGCGTGCCAAGAACTCGGGACGCAAGCCAGTGCAACGTGATGGCCTTAGACCTGAGAGTGCAAGCACGGTGAAGAAGACAATACGAACGACGGCAAAGAAAACGCAACATAAACAAGAGGTATTCTGTTAAAGTGCACCTAACCTCCATTCTTTTAACATCTCATTCCTAAGAACCTTTGAAATGATATTATGATATTGCAGAGCCTGAAATAACGGCCGGCGGTTTTCCGACCAAATTCCGATTTTTCCGACCAAATGCTGAAATGATCGGAAATTTTGTCCGGCCAAATTTTGAGAAAAAGAAAAATGTTTTCTTAATGATCGGATCGGCGCTCAGCACAGTGAGTACCATCTGTAAGTTTGGATGATCTATATTAGGCTAATATAAAGTAATTAACTGGAAAGTATAGTTCACGGGCTCAATAAACAAGGCGGCTTACAGCGTGGTGTTGCCGTGAAAATGTGAGGTGAGTCTTAATTAATTTGCACGACCATTTTGAATTTTCGCTACAGTTACAATTACCTTACACAATTGCAAGTAGAGTGATTTACTCAGTGCACGTCTGCATGCATGACAAAGTTTGCTCATTGGGGGGGGGGGTGGACTTGGTCAAACTAAACTAAAAAAAATTCCGGTCAATTTTGCAAATTTCGTTTTGATCGAAAGTTTTTCCGGACAAATTTTAAAATTATTTCAGGCTCTGGGTTTGAATATCTTTCTAATCTGCTCTTAGGAATTTAAAGCAGCTTCTTGTAGACCGGTTGCTGCATCCCGTTATCGTTCATTTTCATTGAGCATGTCTTGGAACTGAAATATTTTTATGGGAACAAATACTTTCGAACACGCTCAGTTCAAATCCGAAAACTTCCCGCACCGTAGACTTGCAGTTTTCTCACGAACTGCTATTTTACCTTCTCTAATTTCACAACAATTTTTTTCATTGTTCAACGACACGGATCGATGACGACACACGATTATATCACTCAAGACGACCAATTTCTATTAACCAGTTTCTATTTTAACAAAAGACCGTTTTGCTCGAATCATTTTGAGTTATGTACAGGCTTATGCGTGTTAGAATAGACCTATAAACAACATATCTTGTCTACAACTTTGAGAAGGTACAGATAACGCCTTCTAAAATCCTCAGTTCTAGCGATATCTCTGTAAAATCACAAGGAAGTTAATGCTAATTGCTAAATCTTTTGGCTATTTCATGCACTGGTCTGAAAAATAACTATTTTAACGCGATCAAGGATTCAAGGGATTTAAAACAAAAGTAATGCGAAGCCAACGTAACGGCAAAGACAACGCTGAAATAAAATATTGTCGATTGGTTGCTGGTAGAAGACTAATTACGACAGGATCAATCTTAAATAACCTTAAACTAGGAGAATAAATGTTCACATCAAAGACAAAGATCAGTCCCAAAGTATAAAATCTGCTCTGTAAACTTACGGCGAAGTGGAGAAATGTGTGCATAAGCTGAGAAATGTGTGCATAAGCTGTTTATTTGGTGATTTCAACGTATATGGCAGCCCTCTTTAAGTATTGCAAAAACAAAAGGGTGCAAATTAAGAATCGCAAAACCAAAAGGGTGCAAATTTACATAATTTAATTCGTGTGTCTTTGAGTAATACAAGCCAACCCAAAAAAACTAACCAACCCAAAGAATTTGGTCTGAAGACCAAAGTCGGATGTGAATTTGTACGGGGTATTGTTCTTTCAAATGTTATGTCGCTTGCGCCGAAAATTGACGAAATAAGACCATTGGTCCTCAATGCTGCCGTGGACATTGCTGCATTCACCGAAACGTGGTTAAAACTTAAAAGACTCAATCTTAAACACAGTGGTTGATATCCCTGGGTTCAAAATAATTAGGAAGGACCGCAAACACACTATTCAGTTTGTATCTACGTTAACAATCAGATAAAAACTGGTATTTTGTACGAGATAACATGCAATTTGAAGTCTTGTGGATCAAGCTATCACCTAAACGTCTACCTCGTGGGATATCAAGCATTATCATAGGAACAATTTATCACCCGCCAGCGTCTGATGATCAATCAATGATCGAATATCTAACTAACTGCTTGACTAGCATTGAAGCAACGAACTCAAACAGTGGAATAATCCTAACGGGAGACTTGAACAGATTAGACACCTCTCGCATTAGTCGGCAATTTAATCTTAAACAGCTGGTAAACTCGCAACCAGAGGGGAAAGAACATTAGATGTCATCTTAACAAATCTCTCCAAGTTCTACGGAAACCCACAAAAACTCGCACCTTTTGGTCTTTCTGATC